ACAGAAATAAGTCTAAAGTGACTAGATGGTCTGGCAGCAGTGTACTGTATGTGGTTTTACGTCAAGTAAGCTTTATTGGTAGGATAAATCAGTTTTCATGCCCAAAAAGTTTTCTGATTGAACTGAGATTTTTATATAGGATGAGGTAGGGAGAAGGAGGAACTGGCAACCTCATTGACCCCAGAACAGTCAACTGTTGTGTGGCTTTCTTGTGCTTTGTAGATCTGGCTGTTGAAACACCTTTCTTCAGGTGTTCTACTGATCCTGCAGGCCCTTTTTTTAGCATCACACTGGTATCTGCCCATAGGCTGTGAAATAAAGCTGCACTGAGAGAGCTGCCAGGGCTGTAAGGAGGCAGCTTGTAGAAATACATACACAAATTGGTCAAGTATGTTACTCTATTCCCAAGCTTGCTTCAACTGGAGTACACTGAATTAGCTTGCTTTTGGATTGTATTATTTTCAAAAACATGGATGACTGTGATTGTCCGTGTCTAATATAACTCCTCAGGGAAGGAAGAAAAAACGAACAACAACAACAAAAACTGGATTGTATTATTTTCAAAAACATGGATGACCATGATTGTTCATGTCTAATATAACTCCTCAGGGAAGGAAGGGAAGGAAGAAAAAAACAACAACAACAACAAAAGACACCAACAGAAAATCCCAACGGGCTGCCCAGGGAACTGATGGAGTCACCATCCCTGCAGGAGTTAAAAAACAGCCATATAGCCATGGTACAGGGGTATGGTTTAGTGGGCGTTTGTCTCTGTTTAAGGCTCAGGGCAAGCCCAGGGAGCAGGATTTTCTCTCTATTGTCCCCTACCCTCCCAGGGGAGGATTTGAAGAAAAAAAAAAGGGAGGAATAGAGGAAAAAGATGCTTCACACAAGCTTGGAAGTTAAGACTGTAACAAGTTTAATGAAAACAACAGGGGAAAGGAAAAGGGAATTAATAAGGGACAAAGGATATTTATATACAAAACCTGATCCCAGTAGTCCTGAGTGGAAGTGTCCGAGCAGTGCCTCGTGACCGCTGCGACTGCTGTGACTCGTCACCAGGGACCGCAGTGGTGCCGGGAGCGGATGGTGGTGGATGCTGCCGAGCACGTGGAGCGAGGCCCAGCCGTCCCGAGATGCGACAGGAAGCAGCCCAGGAAACCAGGAAAAGCCCGTGAAAAGCTTGGGCCTCCTTGGTTTTTTTATAGATTGTGGCCAGAAAGGGGAGTGAACAGTACTGATCTCTGACCCTCCAGGGTCCTACAGACACCACCTGTCCTTCCCTTTCAGGCTGGTAACCCTTAAACCATAACAGCATTCTTGCTCACCTCGTTTTCTCCAGTTTGCCTGATGATGCATTTGCTAAGATACAGCTGTTGAAAATAATGTTGAGAGTACAGCGGAGCTCAGAGCACCACTGCAGAACTAACTCTGTAATTCCCAGGAAACCACCTCAGATGTCCTCAATCTCTGCATCAACATTTGTTCTAGGTTTGTTTGTTTTCACACTTGTGTGCTGTCCACTTATTTTGACTTGCTGTGTTACTTTAGAAACAAGACATACAGGAAAAAAAGTTTGTGTGACTGTATTTTACAGATACATGCACATACCTTGAAGTGTCTAAGTACAATGCTGTGCAAAGACTGCATTTCATGAGGTTGCGTAGGTTGACTAAAGTAGTGCTTTTTATTTTTAGCAAGTTTGTATAATGGAGAATGTCCTCTCTGACATGAAACTCAAGAACAGCGCTGCATTACAGTGTTACTTTGTAAAACAGTCAGCAGATGAAAGTGGTGTTTCTTGTGTTGCAGGAATTATACAAAGAAGCAGAAAATTCAGTGTAAATAAGTGTTCTTTGGTTGTGCCATAGGAGGCCCTGGCAGCACTGATGTTGGTCTTGGCTTCAGCGAGGGGCTGTGCAAACCTGAGGTTTTGTGCCCATTGGTGCAGGTACCTGATTGCTGGGCCAGTTGCACGTGTTGGCCTTCGCATGATTTCTGCCCACCTGACAATGTATATTGAATCGCATTATGAAAAATTTTGATTTCTTTTTTTTTTTTTGGTCAACTTGCTTAAAACGTGATTGGAAAAGTCATGTAAGGAAGGGGTACAAGTTTCAGGCCCTGCAGAAGTGAAATGAAAGTTAATTTTACAGTGACAAACTGCCAGCTGTATTCTGTCACTGCTGGGTTGGTTAGTTAAAAAGGAGGTATTTCGTAGTGTCGTGTCCTCATCCAAGAGGGGAGAAGGAGGGAGCATGCACACAGGTCCGTGAAAGCATCAAATGGGTTTTTTAGATCATTGCCTTTGCAATAGAAGTGTTAATCTTGGAGCAAGTTGGAGTTAGTTAAAAGATTACTCACTTTCTTTGGTAATGAAAATATTGTGGAGTTGCGTGAAGGGGAAGAAAAAACAAACAGAAAAACCCCTTTGTTTTTTGAAAAGCTGCTTATACAAACTTCTAGATCAATTGCTTGTCATGCTACTTTGAGACCTCTTCGAGCTATGAAGGAATTCAGAGTGGAGTGGAAGTTGAGCATTTTAAGGTGTTGTACCAGGTACTAGTGTTGCTCTTTCAGGCACTTGCTGATGTCACTTGAACAGAACACTGTGCAGAGTCCTTTATTTCTGTGCATGGGGGAATGAGAAGCTGCTGCCCTAGCAATCTCCCTGCATTCCAGGCAGTGCTGCTTCAGCTGCTCAAGAAAGGCCACCTTTTTAAGTTTTGAGCCTTTGTTCAGGCATTGTGCAGGTGCAGGGCAAAAAACATGTGGGACAGATCTGTAAAGGAATTAATTCGTAGCTGTGACACCTGCACCAGCGAGGTACCCTTAATAACATGCTTTAATACTGAGTCAGCCCCGAAGTGGCTGGAGTAGATGTGCTGTAGGTCCCCTTCCAACTCCGCTACAGAAAGCAAAGGGTGTGGAAGAGCCTTATATCACAACTGCTTTCCTATCTCCCTCTCTCAATGCCATCTCTGATTGAGACATGAGCTGCTCTCCTAGGTCTGTATCTTGTGCCACTGCTCCACCTTGTAGCTTGCATCTGTGACATCTATGATGATGTTATTTGTCTTTATGGAACAGAAAATGGCTCAGGGGTTAGGGAACAGATCCAATTTTTTTGACAAGAATGACAGTAACAACATTTCTTAAAGAAAAACTGAAGCTTTTTTAGTAAGGGTTTAAAAATGTTTTATTGATTGTTCTATAAAATCATGGAAGTCTTTAATTCCTGAAGAACCATGTCTGACAATAGGAAAAATGAAAAATGTCCTTAAAAAACATCACAGCATTTTTTGAAAAACTAATGTGAAAAATATATACAATGTATTAAAAAATCTGAATAAAATTGTCTGGATTTATACATTCAGTTGTGTTAAACATCTGCCTGTGTACAACAAAATCTGTTAAAATATTAGCAGTATTTTTACTATGTTAAATAATCTGTTCAATTTACAGTTTCTCTCAGTACTATTTTATCAGTTGACTTGTAAGTTAATTTACAAGGCTGTATAGCCACTGTCAGACCATCAAGATAAGTATTTTTGTACAAAATTACTGCCTTCCTAATATCTTCTGAATTGTTACAGAGATACATCTTTATAAACATCCAATTCATTCACAAACAACATATTACAGTATATAAAACAAAATACACCCCCTTTAAAAAAGGAAATGCAAAGGCTTTTGCACTAAGTTTTTCCCTCATTTTTACTGAACAGGTATTCAGCTGGTCCTTAAAGGTGAAGATTTTTATGATATAAACTGTCACACCTATATACAAAAAAGATGCACTAAGATTTACTTCATTGAGTGCATTTTTTTCACACTTTTTTTTCAGTTAAATTCCAAACAAACTACAGATGCCAAAATTTAGCAGGTGTTGCATGTAGTGCAATTGTGAGAAGTCTTCTCTGAGGCAGAGAAGAACATCTGTGAAGCAGCACCCATGTGAGCTCCTCTGAACGCAAGAACCAGGTATTATTTTATCTATCATGTGTTCTCACTCCCTTCTTACCTCAACCTGAAGCAGAAATACTGCTCTGTAGCAGTAACTTCATATGAAGAGTTAGTTAAACACATGGAGAAAACTGAAACAATCTACTCCTTTCCAGCAGTCACACTTCTCTAAAACATCTGACATGAATCTGAGAACAAGATGATCAACATGTATTTTGCAGACTTCAGTACTTCTTTCTTGCTTTCAGAAATCCTGGCACCACTGCAGCACTAGAAGAAGTCTGAGCTACCTCAGTGACACCCCATCTTAGAGAGCACCACCACTGGAGGCACTTGTCTGGATTCTTCCCTGAAGTCTGTGTCAGCTTTGCCAACGTTGATTAGAACCATTACTTACTTACTTCTGACAAACTCTGGGCCATCCCTGGCTTTGTGCTGGAGAGGTAGTCCTTTATGACTTATGGGGATGGCTATTGTAGCTCAGGCTACACAGATGATGACAACTGGGATGCATCCCATCAATGTACTCTCTAGTACTAAGAATGTAACACTGCACTTACTTTCTTAGGAAAAGTCAGGGAAACCCCCGATATGGCTGTTCACCTCCAGCTACATGGATTGGGTGAGTTCCTGGTGTTTCTACAGACTGTGACACGCAGTTCTGCTGCTCAAAGAAAGTAAAAAATGCTCAAAACCAGATGGAGAAAAACAGAGAGGCAGGGATGGAGGCCCTAAATTTGAAACTGAACTTTAAGTCCAAAAGATGCATAGCTGATCTTCAGTGCCAAAGACACTACTTCTAGTTAAAAACTACTACTGGTCAAGCCTAAGATTTCAGTTCAGAGCTCTCAAATTGTGAACCAAAAAGGGATGAGTATCCAAAGCATCAGTGCCCTCTTACTGGGTTTTCGCATTGGTGACCACAGCTTCCATGCGAGAGCTGTGGGGTACGCAGGTGTACCCCACTGCCAGCAGTCAGTGCAAATCCTGCAGTAGAGTACGCAGGAGCAGAAACAGTCTGTCTACACCTTGCTTTACACGTTGGTTTCAAGACCAAGCAAGCGGCCCATCCGTTCCATGTTCTTGTCGATGGTGGCACGACATGTGATTTCTTTAGCACATTCCATAGGAAACCAGCCTCGCTCACCATCCCGCAGGCGCTCCCCTTCATACCAACCTGTGGGTCGAAAGGACAAAGAGGAACAAACCTTGGAGATACTTTGCCAGTGCTGTTGTGTTGCACCGGACAGGCATCACATACACCATACATTGGCCCTTACAGTGAATAAAGTACCATTTCAGCAGCTGGGGTTTTCTTGTACCAGCAGACTAGGAACAAAATAGTACGTAAAAATAAATATATGAAACAAGATTAATACACTTTTATATTGCAATTCAAATATGTTGTTTGAAATAAGAATATAATTGCAATTAAAAAAAAGCAATGCAGCACAATTGATAGGATCTTTGATTTCATATGTAACATTGAACCACATGATTAAGTTAGGACTTACTTAGTACTTCAAGTGGTGACAGCTTCAAGAGTGACTGAGTCAGCTCAGTCAGATATTAGTAGAGTCACTTCCATATCCAGGCAAGAATCAGTTTTGATCTCAGGTACTTGATGCTATGGAAAACTTACTTAAGCAAAAGCAGTGTGCTAGAGCCCTGTACTTCAGAGGCAGCAAAGCACAGTATGTGATGTGACTGAAAATATGCATTTCTTTTACTCAGACAAATGTGGTCTAAGATACCTGAGCTCTACATTTTTAGGTAAAATTTAATTTATTTGTGGACATTTCACATGTCAAAACCAACCAGCACACACTTCCCACAGCTATTTATCTATATAAATGGTGACAGGTGATGAGTTACTTTGATCATCTGTTCCCTAAACAGGGGCAGTTGGAAGCCCTGAGCCAATACACTGTTTCTTGGAAGCTAAACCTTTAGTCATCATACGGCCACTGCAGTTGGGAAGAAGTTTTTCTAGTGGAGTCACCTGCAGTGGTGACAGATGGTTACCAACAGCAGAATTCCTACTCACCGTCATTTACTTTTTGATAAACCAAAACAACATCAGCAACTTGCAGAGACAGCTCATCTGCCTGCTTCGCTGTGTACGTTCTGATGATCTCTACCTGAGTCAGAGCTGTGGAGGAAATAAGCCAGGTTGAGTTACACAATTCACACAACACAGTATCTTTTAGTAAAATATAGATACTATTTATTTTTAAATTTTCATCTTAGAGTATGCTCTAAGTCTGCTCCCTCCCAGGGGAGGCAGCACATTATGCAAATGGCTTCGTACCTGAGCAATGACACACAAACTTGGGATGAACACACAAGGGAAGGGGCTCTCTGCTTTTGATAGCAGCTTGAAACAGCTGCCCAAACCAGTGCTGCTGAATGCAAACAGAAATTACCGTGCAAAACAACCCATCTGGGCACAGGCAGAGGTGACAACTTAATGTACACTAAAACTACAGAGCCCAGAAAGAACCAGACAGCATTTCTCAGGGTATTTGTAGCCTACACTTGCTCACGTCCCCACCAAGGGGCAATGCATTTCCATTCTCCTGCCAGAGCTCTCCAAAATCTGGTTATTGGTTGATTTGTCACTTACTTGTCCTGTCTGTCTTCTGCCAGTCTCTGTCCTGTCCAAGTGCTGCAATCCAGCGAGCTCGGTCACTCCTGCAAACGGCAAAGACAGAACTGTTTCCCAACTCATATTTTGCTTTCCCTGTAACCATGCTTAACAGGAAATCTACATTTCCTTTCAGACAACTCAGAAAAATAGGATAATGCCAGGCTGTCTCCCAGTTTAAGTATATATTTCTTCATAATGTGTGCATACCGTATGTTTTGTGCCTTATTCACAGGGCAACGTAACACTCTTGATGTAACGCTGGTACTTCTGTACTTGGGAACCGCACAGCACATGAAGTGACAAAACCTGATCAAACGGTGCTAGAATTCACTCCATCGGCAAAAACATGTAAGTTTTATGTGTGCAAAACTAGTCAGTAAGCACTCCAACCCATCCAGCTTGGCCTTGCCATCCTTTTTAAAGTTAAGAGAAAGTTAAGTTTTTCTGTACCTTTGTTTATGTGGTAATACTCTATAAAAATAGGTAATTTTAAAATACAGTACTTCTTTTCAGAGTCTTTTCCTCTGAATGACAATCTGCTAGACTGCTATTTATGTTACAAGCAGTATATAGCAAATCAATGATAAAGCTTCAGAACAAAATGTCTTTTCATACAAAGCCCAGACAACTAAAAACATGCTGCATTTTTTCCCAATAAAAATTCATTTCCAAACAAGCCTGAATCATCTGCTTACTTTATAATGAAATCTTTAATAGAAATCATTAATGATCTATAGTTTCTTTCAGGGTTATTCTAAACTTTGAAAGCAAATCTAAAACTGTCAATGTTTCCAGGCTGGGCTACGTCTGGAGCGCTCTGTTTCATGTCTTCTGTCCTGCCTCAAGCTTCCAGTGAACAGATACAATCCTTCACTTTTGTGAAGGGCTGTGTGGAAGTTAATGGCACCACAGAGAAATGATGGCTCTTGGATATTTGCACCCAAAAGAACAAGACCCTTCTTGTTGCTCATTTCCAAAGCAGAGCACAAGGACCACCTCTGTCCCAGCACAGCTTCCCGAGGGCAGTGCCAGGCTCCTCCTCCCTGTTTCATCCAGGACTGTTTCCACTTCTGCTTCACCCAGCCACACAATAAATAATTCACAAATTACTGCTCGAGCACAAGAGCATTCCACACTCATACCCTAACAACACTTGTCGTGGGTACCTCGCCTCACTGTGGAGGTGTGCGTTCACAGTGCAAACAGCGCAAACCACAGCAGGTCGCAGGTGTCACAGCTTGTGTCATTGTCACCGACCGAGCAGGGCACCAGCACGGTCTGTGGCACACAGATCATTTCCACGGCTGTGCTCCTTTGGTCACTGCTGATCAGACATCACAGACTGCCCACTTAGGGACTCTACTTACTCTTTTTATTGTGTTTAATTTTGAATGAAACTTGCCAAACAGACAAGAGCTGGGGTTGTGTTGTGGGGGAGGTTGCCTGTTTAGATGATCAGGTGAACAAATGCAGAAACAGTAATGCTGTACATACTGTGTCTCTGTTCCCAGGAGCAGCTCCACCTTCTCCCCCGCATGGTTGCTGAGGACCGCCAGTCTGAAGAGGTGAACTGCAGTGCTCTGCCGCGAGGAGAGCATCGTCGCAGCGTTCTTCACAGGGGATGAGGTCAGGTCCTCGCTGTCACACTGTTGTACCACCAGCTGGTCCCTTAGAGAGTAATCCGTGACATTGTAACTCTCTTCACTGCAAAACAAAGGAAGGAAGGAAAACAAACCACAATTTTAGTGTTTAGTTTTCCATTAAGTACATCTGAAAGTAAACTGCCACAGAATCCACTTTTAACTATGTAGCATAGAGCAATTCTGTTGACGCCTCAGATCTTCATCTTTTCTGCTTATTCAGTTTTTGAAACTACCGATTTTCCAGGATTTAAAGTGGATCACTTTTTAAAGCACACACTTTAAAGCCTGTGGAATTTCATTTAGTAGCACAGTTTAATGGCTTTGGCGCTCCTGAGATGGGTTAAGCTTAGCTCACTCCACTCTTTTCTTCTGTAGCATCAACTGAACAACAGACCTTATCTTTAGAATGTTATAGAAAAAAAAGAAGAGTAAAATTTCCTTTTCTCTGTGCCTATAAAATGATGGGTAGGTGTGCTGCTTCCAGATAAACACTACTGATCATTTTAAATACAGGACAATTATCTGTACTCCTTGTCCTTCTGCCTGTAGAGGGTCTAGTCTAAAAACTATTTTACAATAGTCTGGTATCAATTCTGAATTTTAAAAATGGACAGAGGCTTGTCACACACTATTGGTCTCGCAAAATGCACTATGCAGTTTACCTCTTAGGAAATACTTTGTAAATAAATATACCAGCTCTAAGTGACATGAATAACAATGGCTACATGTACTTAATAACTTCCCAAAAGCAACTAGAAAGAATTCTAAGAAATGAAGCAAGTCGGAAGCTTTGCTTTTCCCTTCCTCATGGTTAAAAGACAGGCGGTGAGGTGGACAAAACTGTCTTTGCTGACACAAAGCCCTGTTTGACACAAACTCAGAACTACTTCTTAGGCCAATGTCGCTGGAATTTTACCAAATGACACTGTCATTTCTCCAGACAGGTAAAACCATACAAACATCAGACCTCACAAAGCAGAACTTAGAAGTGTTCTTGATTTTAACAGCAGCAGGACTTAAATGACAACACACGCTCTCCCCTGAACAGCAGCCTTTGATTTCTACACCTGAGAATCTCACAGCTCATCAGGGTCTTCCTGACAGGGAAAGACAAAGAAAGACTTGGCCTGGCTGGACAAGGCCCAACGGTCCCACACGGCAGTGACAGAGGGTGGCAAGGACAAGTACCTCAACCCCCCCCCCATGCTCCACTCTACTACGATGGATTTACCACACGCACTTCAGCTTGACACCATCCGGCTGTCTTGGGCAGCATCCTGCAGTGCTCCACTCCTCTGTGAGCTTCACCAGTTCACCTAACTCTTGTTTCTGCTATTTACTCGTAGCAAGGCAATACTGGAAATTATTTCTCCAAGTGGAAAATAACTGCATTTCCCAATTTTTAAAGTCATGAGACACAGTTAAAGAAACCATTACAAGAATGTACACCGCTTACCCAAGAAACACCAATGGATCAGAGAGAGAAAAGAGAGCTGAAAAGGCTTTTTTGTTTCCAGTGAACCTTGTGAGCGCATTTCCCAGAATTGTCTTACACACATTTGCAAGTTTACCAGGATATCGTCAACCCAGGTAATTATAATCTCATCATTTCATGTAAACTCCTGCAGATTTATTGTCCTACACTGGTGCAACAAGAAGAGATAGGAAAGAATTGCTTACACAGGCATAAAGCCAGTTCTCCCTCCTGGCCCATACATTGCTGTGTTTGTCAAATTCTGCAGTAAGTCAAATACATCAAGGTTTAAGGTGCAGCTCCACATACTCCACCTCAAAGTAAAATCCATTTAGACCTCAGTCTTGAGTGATTGCAAGCTATGCTAGAGCTTCATATTACTATGGTTCATTAAAATAATTTAAATTGAAAAAAATACTTGAGAAGATTAATTCTGTTGCCAGAGCTCTACAGAAACCCAAGCACTGAACCGATACAAATCAAATCCCAAACACCTGGAGCTGAAGCTGTCTGAAATGCTGATGGTGACATCCCCTTCTGGCAGTGGCAAACGCAGTGTCTTCTTCCCTAATGCTTGCTCAAGTGTTATAAGAAAACAGACAGGTGATGCCCCAGTGTCTGTTGGGATGCATTTACCCATTCTGTGACCTGTCAGAAAAATACCTGTGAATACCTCAGTAGTTCATCTCATGGTCTTTGTAATTCTAAATCCTTCAGAAAAAGAATTGCTGAAACACAACTGAGCAACGTTAGGACTCAAAATACAAGTTATTGCTGATTTCTGTGACTCATGCAGCATTAGAGGAATTTCTCTGTTCTTCAAGTGATGACAGGTTTACAGATCATACCATATTTGTGGAGTTTTGTGGATTAATAGATTCTGGCAGTGCAGCTAGTATAAAAACAAAGTTCTTATTTCAGCTACATCAGGTACATTTTTACTTTTGTTTTGTGAATTAAATACTTGGTTTTTTTCAGTACAGCTTTGCACATTCTGAAGTGATGGACACGGTTCCATCAGTGTTGTGCTCTAATCCTTTGCAGAAGTATTTGTTCTTCTCAGCTTTCGTGAGGGAATTTGGGGCTTTACAAAGGAAGCAGAAGCAACAGCAGACAGACTGACATTTACCAGAGGGACTGAAATCAGGGTCTGTTGTAACAAGATGAGCACTTTCCTCCCTTCCCTGTGTCTTTTTCTCCAAGTCTCAAAGTGATACCAGCAATTGCCCACAATCTGCTGGTGCTTCCCACGCCAAGGAAGATCATAATGAATAAAGTATCATTAAAATTGAACCGTAAGAACTCTGGAGCCTGCCTGAGCATACAGCAACATAAGACCTCCCTTCATCTTTTTTATAGCTAAAATGTAAGCAGTTGTCATTATGAAGACGTTTCTGGAACGCTTGCTCGCTTGGTATTTAAGCACAGTTCTTTTCCAGCGCTGGGTCTGACATTTGGGAAGTGTCCTTGGAGCAAGGCCGTGGGCAGTGATGAGCGCTGGAACCACGTGGGTTCCAGGTACCACCAGGCCTGGGCCGTAAGGAGTTGGAAGCGGGCCATTCCCATTCTGCACACACAGGAGAGCTGGGATCAGCTTTGGGTGAAGACGGAACACCGTGATGGGAGTGCCAAGTGACAAGGTGTTTTTAGCACGGCAGCGAGGAGTGATTTTCTGTGCAATGTTAGGAATCTTCTGCAATGCAACTGCTCAAGTGAAAATACAAACATTTGAACTCAAGTAGCAACAAGTGTTGTTGCTGCGGTGTCCATGGTGTCACTGTGGGTGGGAGAACAGGTCCCCAAAAGCTCAGATATCATTAATAAACTTACTCATTTGGGCAAAGCTCAGCATATCTGGAGGCTGATGGAAACCAGTGCTTTTCAGTACATCCCCTTGCTCAGGGGTCCTGGTAGTGACCACCTGAATCCTACCATTCACATGAAGCATTCTGGGATTTTTGGCATCTGTGCCCATTTAGGACATTTCAGTTCCACGGCTGGAAGCTGTTATAAATCAAAGCCCAACATTTGGATAAGATACATTGTTATAAAAATCTGATTTATAATCCCTGCCAACAGGCAGTCACAGAGGAAACCGATAAACAATGTAACAACACAGATCCTAGATTCTTCACTGCTTTCCCAACTCAAACTTTTACTTAGCTACCAGCACAATAATATGTTAACAAGAGTCCCGCGAGATCAGAAACGACTGTTTAAACAAGCGAGACATAACTTCGCTGTGCTGCCAGTGATTTAACAAGGGGCTACACAGAGACATTTCAGCACAAGCTTTGACAAACACAATCTCAGAAACATGGTCACAGCAGTACTACAGCTGGAAACAAGTCTATTTGCTTTTCTTCCCATCTTTAGAAAAAAATAAAGAATAGAAAACCAACTTACACTTAAATATTTTTTTTCTCCTCCACTTTCATTTAGCTTTCTCCTTGCTTAAATATTAGCATTGTCTTCCCAGGTTTACATCCTAACTTGTTCCTGAAAATGTATTTGAATAATGGATTTGAAGTGCCACTGAAGGGTGTCTTTTAAAACTAGCTGGTGTTTGGCTTAACTGGCCAACCCAGATGCAAAATAATTAGTTTTAGCCTCAGGAATAAGGTTTATCTATCAAGTATTACCTAACAGCAACAGCAGAGGATGGAAACTCCATTCAACTCAATTCTTGTAAACCTCCCCTCAAACCTAGTGATAAGTATTTAAATGGAGACTGCCAGAAGTGTCACCCCTACAGCATTCCCAAGAACAGCCTAAGTGTGGGAAGAATGGAGGAGAATGAAAATTGCTGCTGCTTTATCCCTCCAAAACCTCTCCCTTTGCTAAGGCATCGAGGATGAACTTCTTAATTTGATAATTTGGAATTTCAGTTGCATTTGCCAAAAATAAATCCTGATTAACACATAATTACTTGTCATTTCTAAATGCAGTCTGATAGAGCAGACTACTAGAAACTCAAATAACTTCGCAACTCATTCACTCTCTCAGACACAGTGTATTAAACATATAAATGGCTTCACAAATGATTACTGAACTTAAAGCATGTTTAGTCCATGTTTCCTCCTGTTTTATTCTGCAGATGTACCAGGTCCACTTACTGCTCTTTGAATCTTCTTCAACCTTTCAAACAAGCAAGTAGCCAGAAAAATGGGTAAAAATGCTGCGGATGCAGCAAGTTTGCCATCCCAAAGCCAGAAAGCTCCAGTTTTTGGTTCCCAGGGTAAGGCACAGCACTCACAGCAGTTTGTAAGCAGCGGGAACGCAGCTGCGCTCACTCTGCCTTGAGGACGTGGGCACAGCGGCAGTGACAGCGATGACTCTTTCTTACCTCTTCTTCTTGGTGATGATGAGGACGTCGTTGAAGAGGAAGAAGTACACCTGCTGTTTCGAAGTCCTTTTAGAAAACAGTCCAGTGTCTTCTACGTACGCTGTTAATTCACCCCTTTTCACTAACCATCGTGAAGAGGAAACCAAGGGAAATGGCTACAAAACAAGAAAATAGTATTTTAATCCTTCAAAACTATAGATGTTTAAAAAACACGTAACAGTGTATTTTATATTTGGGAAAAATGCTTAAATAAACTCAAAGTTCAGAGATCGTGAGTACAAGCACAAACCAGAAGTCATCAAGGTTTAAGGTATCTTTATAATTTATATGGTATTTTTAAGGTATCATTTAAGGTATCTTCATTATTCCTATGATATGCAAATCACAGTCTGCAAATACTTGAAAGTTACTCCCACACATGACCTAATTGCTCATTGAAGATCAAAGTGAACAGACCTGACTGCTCATACTGGGATGGAGACTATGTGAGCTCTCCTAAGGAGATCAACAGAGACTGCCTTCCAGGGGTATCTACGTTTCTGTTGAGTAAGCACTCATTCTTTCAGCATGTGTGAACACTGAATTTCCTCTAGGCACCTCATTATCAGAGACGTTCAGTGCATGCAGACCCTTTTTTCCATGAAAGAGCCAAGGTATGTGAGGATTGTTGAAGGACTGCCCAGCAAATGTGGGAACATAGAGTTCGTACTCTGTAACTGAAGTTGCAGCACAGCTCTGTGAAAGGAGGTTACAGTGCTGTGTGATGTGTAGGGTTTGAATTAGCAGCCCCCTTTAATACCAAAACAATATTGTTTCCTCATAATGTTGTAAATTCACCAGTGGTTTGAATGACAGGTCTGAGATGTTCGAGGACATCTTTAGGTACCTGCTCATGAAAGGCGATAGTAACAAATAACTCCTTCCTCAAGATGAACGCCAGCTTTTGTTTTGCCCCATCTCACATTTTATCAGAAAACCATGACTGTTACCTCTGACCACATTTGCTTTGTAATTCACTACTGCAGCTGAAAGGGACGAGCAGGTCAGACTGCTGTAACAAGGGGTGAGCTCGTTACAGCACGATGAGCCTGGTCTTGCATGATCAGACTAATGAAGACAACTGCTCTTCCCCTCCGTCATTTAAAGCACCTTTCACATGCTGGTAAAAGTATCTCTTCACTGAGCCTGTCAGGTGTCTTCATTCTGCATGGGTTGTCTCCTTACAGCTTTTAGTCTCTCGAGCTACCCTTTGCTGAGCTAACTCCAGCTTGTCAATACTTGCCCTAGGGACTATACCAAAACAAAAAAATAACTGATTTTATGTGCAGCCAACCCCTCATTTTTTAATTGTGAGTTATTACTTTAGTGACTCTGACACTGCACATGACAAAACCATTTTTCCAAAGATGTTTTTTCTGCCTTGGTGC